CCGACATCTGATTATAGGTGGTTCGGTGAGAACAATACTTGCACACCGTGAACTTGAAGTTTGGTCCGACATCTGATTATAGGTGGTTCGGTGAGAACAATACTTGCACACCGTGAACTTGAAGTTTGGTCCGACATCTGATTATAGGTGGTTCGGTGAGAACAATACCTGCACACCGTGAACTTGAAGTTTGGTCCGACATCTAATTATAGGTGGTTCGGTGAGAACAATACTTGCTTTAAGGGAATTGTTAGAGTTCATTCCGTACTTATTATATTCTAAACTCATGATTTCTTAGTTTAAGATACCTTTTTCATATGACTCTGTTTTTACTTTAACTTACTTTGCAATCCATATTTACGAAAATATCGTTAACAGTAACTGTAATGGTACCCATCTGAAGTCTTTTCGCTCTTTTGTTTTGGAAATACAGTTCAGATTATATTTGACTGGGCGTTATCTAGGAACATTTGGACCGTATACTTATTTAAAAACAGTGTGTTGCTCATTTTTCTCCATTTACAAATGACAGTTTTAACAGACGATAAAATTTATTTATTTTTTATTATTTACATGATAGTCGAGAGACCACGTGTCCTTGTCAGTGTTCCTGTTTGTAAGTATCTCGAATTTCTAACTAGTTGGCTTGTGATGTTAGAAAAACATGTAGGTTCAAGAAGTCTTGATAGAAATGAATAAGTACCCTATAATCTGAGCACTTTCGAAAGGTGGACCTTTCTTCTTCAGGGGCAAACCGGGAATCAGGTGGCTTGTGATTAATAATAACCTCTAATCAGAGTAAGCTATGTACTTAGGGCGAAATCAAAAACTAACCTGGCCGCCAATATAGCCAATTAAATATTCTTTTCTTGTAAAGATTAGAACGCATTGTTTGAAGAGTCTTAATACACTGAAATATATTATAAAGGAATAAATTTACATGTGGAGTCTTAGTACACTGGAATACATACAATAAAAATAAATTTACATGTGGAGTCTTAATACACTGGAATGTATTCAATATAATTATATTTACATCTGGAGTCTTAATACACTTGAATATGTTCAATAGGAATGAATTTACATCTTGAGTCTTAATACACTAGAATATATTCAATAGAAATAAATTTAGATTTGGAGTCTTAATACACTGGAATGTATTCAATATAAATAAATTTACATCTGGAGTCTTAATACACTGGAATGTATTCAATATAAATAAATTTACATCTGGAGTCTTAATACACTGGAATGTATTCAATATAATTAAATTTACATCTGGAGTCTTAATACACTTGAATATGTTCAATAGGAATAAATTTACATCTGGAGTCTTAATACACTAGAATATATTCAATAGAAATAAATTTAGATTTGGAATCTTAATAAATCGGAATATATATATACAGTAGGAAGAAATTTACCGATGTGTTAGCTTCTTTGTTTTACATAATGTAAGCTCCAGCTAATGTAGAGATAATAATTAAGTTTGTGAAAATCAATTTATTTGATATGTGGTTGGGGGGATATATGTTTGTAGTTAACTATACTCCCACCCCTCCTGACTTGAATTTTTAAAAATAAGGTCACGGGATGAATGGACTCTGGTTACTTCGAATCTTCAAGTATATAATATATATATATAACGTATTGGAGTCTTAATACACTGAAATATATATATAATAGAAATTAATTTACATGTGCATGTAAATTAATTTCTATTATATATATATATATTCCAGTGTATTAAGACTCCACATGTGAATTTATTACTAATAAAGTAGAACAATATTAACTTTCCAAAAAGTGAGGCTTTGAATTTTTGCTTAGTGTCATGTATCCTTAGAAATCGTTTAAAATCGTATAGCTCATTTAGGAATAGTTTATATTTGATCTGTAGTGTAGTTCATCTTACTTCGTTTTCATAATAACTCTCAATATGTGCTAGGTATGTAATATCGAGAGAGAGAGAGAAAAAAAAAGAAAATGAAACGCTAATACTTTGTAACTGATGTTGTTTTAAGTTTGATTTTATTCGGAGCAACGTTTGCTGAAATTCTGTGATGCTCTTTACTTCCTTTAGATACCTTATCCTTGAACACGTGTCTGGAGGGGAACTATTTGATTACCTTGTGAAGAAAGGACGGCTAACTCCAAAAGAGGCGCGGAGGTTTTTTCGACAAATTATATCCGCCCTAGATTTCTGCCACAGCCATTGCATATGGTAAACAGTTTTGTTAATTTAGTAAAAAAAAATCACTTTAATCAGTATTTTATTGTTCGTGTACATAATAAAATATTTTTAATTAATATAACAGTAAATACATATTCATATCTAGGACTGATTTTTCCTGAAAAAAAATATAACAAGGAGAATTATTAACCAATATCATCCAATTAAATATATGGAACGGCAGAATTTTTAACGATGATATATATTTTCTTGAAAACAGAATGATTTTTGATGAAATTAAAATGCATACCGGGCGAGATTCAGGCTTAGCTCAGAGTTCTGTCAAGTTCCGGATTTAATAACTAATTACGTGAAAATTTCCAGACGTGGTGATCCTTTTGAAAGACAGATAGATCATACCTTTTACTCATTGTGCTTCAGACTGTGATATGACTATATCTGTGCATTTATAAAGCTCGAGCAGTCATCTGAAACATCACCGGATCAGTCTGATTTCATATGAAAATAAATGGAATGATCGTTTAATATGTGTTTATTGGTTTGAGGATAATGATATAGTGGTCTGTCAGTGTATAGTTATATCACAGACAAGACAGTAATGTGTTTATTGGTTTGAGGGTAATAATATAGTGGTCGTCAGTGTATAGTTATATCACAGACAAGACAGTAATGTGTTTATTGGTTTGAGGATAATGATATAGTTTACTGTCTTGTCTGTGATATAACTATACACTGACCGACCCCTCAAACCAATAAACACAACTATATTATTACTTACTGTCTTGTCTGTGATATAACTATACACTGACCGACCAATCTCGTGCAAATATATTTGTGGCAAGACTTTGGTTAAAATGTGTATAGCTGGAAGCGACGTGTTTATTGTCATGGTGTCCCCAGATACGAAACAGATAAGTACTACGCCAGTCAGCAGCACATGGTGCCACGGGAAGTTTGTCCGAGTCTTCTATAACATGCCCACAGCTGAAAGTGCGGATCCACAGTTCGATACTTCAACCGTTAGGACACACCTGGTCCACTTCTTGTATTAAAGCTGTTAAAATAGTATTAAAGAACTGTGTAGTACCACTGAAGGAGATAATTGTTGACTATTTTACTTTTAACCGCTGTTATGTAAGTGTAAACAACAGTTCGCTGATTTGTTTTCAAGAAAATGATGAGGATATTCTAAAGAAACCAACTAGCTGTTATAATGAATAATTCACAGCATTTACACCACATCCAGCACATAAATTTAACTTTATACAAGTAATGCACTTCAAGTAAGTGACTTGTAAATAACGATGTGTTACTTTTTATAGCGTATTTTGTATCTATGTTTTCAGTCATCGTGATCTAAAACCTGAGAATCTACTCCTGGATGAGAAAAATAATATTCGTATTGCAGACTTTGGTATGGCGTCTTTACAAGTTGAAGGATCGATGTTAGAGACATCCTGTGGTTCACCTCACTACGCATGCCCTGAAGTAATCCGAGTAAGTCTGTGATGTCACTTGATTGTGCATGCTCAGAAATATAAAGGATTTTTTTTTATATATGTATAAGTACAGGTAGACTTTACACAGGTAAATCAGTGCTTCAACCTATCTGCGCATGCTCAGAAATAACATAGAAATGATTGGCTTACAACTGCAAACACTATTATCAGCTAGGATGGCGAACTGATGAAATAATTCAATTTATTTTGACTTATTTGGGATACTGAGAATGAGTAATAAAATATTAATGAAATTAAAATTAAGAGGAATCATGATAATAACATATTCCCAGTTTATCTATGTTGATATATGTTATTACCAACGAATCTAGGCCTAATCAATATTGGTTATAACTAGAATTCACCGTTGAGCTTGTTTGTGTTTCGGAATTCATCATGAACCAGGAGTGTAACTTCACTTTATTACACATGTAAAAAGGATCAAGGTTGGATTTAAATCTAGAAGTAATCAAAGGTTTCACCCACTATTCAAACTCAGAAATAATCAACGCATCACTAAAACTACTAGAAAAGCTCACTTCGCTTCATACTCTGTCTGAGTTCTGTGTCATTACTGTTTCACACCACTACTGAAGTTTGATAGGAACACGTTTTCTTTAATAACAGTCATTCTGTTATTTACAGTATTGTCCACGTGGAGGTGATTTTCTAGTTTTATTATTAAATTAATAAGTATGACGGAAATTAGGAGTATGTGTGTGTGTGGGTTTTCTTATAGCAAAGCCACATCGGGCTATCTGCTGTGTTCACCGAGGGGAATCGAACCTCTGATTATATCATTGTAAATCCGAAGACTTACCGCTGTGCCACCGGGGGACAAATTAGGAGTAAATCAGGAAATAGTATTTTTCGTGTGGTACATAAATTATTTTGTATAACTTCTCATATCTTTTTCTATTTAAATTCAGTTTTCTTTCGATGGAGGCTTTCAGATAAATTCAATAAGTTTTAGTTCACAGTGAATATTGAAGGCCAAGTCTCAAACAGAACCTTGTCAAAATAGTATATCTCAGCACAGATTTACACAGTATTGATTCGGTGATAGATCTATTCGTAGACAGAAAATGAACATTATGAGTTAGATTACGTTTAACTGATTACTTCCATAATTCATAGAGAAATATAAATAGATGTATTGTGATGATAAATAATTCGATTTTCTTCTCTCTGTCTTTTAGTTGATTTTTTTATAAAATACATATTATATAAAAAATAGTACCCTTGAAGCTACGCATTTTGAAAAACAATTGTCTCTAAAACTTTTATTCATACACTTAATGCAGGACATAATATAACAACAAGCAAACAGAATAGAAAATTTATTCCAATCCTCGTCTCGGTGTATACTTTCAGCATGTCATTATTATGACGTGAAGCAATTAATTTTCATCTAAGAAGAAAATATTTATTATTTCTTTTACTTTATTTGCATGCATATTACTTAGAAATTTGTTCCTTCGAAAATAAAATATCTCATCATCCCTATACGTTCCGTGCAAAACGACAGCGTTTAGCTTCTCTCAACCGTAGCCTAACATAGTTTTTACGATGCCATAATATTTTCACTCCGAACTATAAGGTCATCTGACTCGCATGCAACTTTGTTTGTTACTAACTCTTACCAACCAACATCTCATTAACATTTTCACACAGATTAGGTTGCTGACTTTTAGTAACCGATTAATATCCCAATAACTTTCAATGGTTAATCATTATAGTTGTGAAATGTCTTGGGTTATCTGTAATATTTTCAAGGGTTTCCAGTCTGAAGTGTACGCCATATAAAGTGTAATTACTCACTCAAGTAAAGTGCAATAATGTAATACAAAAAAAAAATAGTAAGATTAATATTCACTTTAGGAGGAAATGTAGTTTTGTGCAAACAAAAGACAGCATTAATTAATTATCATACTCGTAGAAAACAATATAAATATAAGGTACACCGTAATGGCGAGGTTAACAATCCCCACTAGTTATTAAAATATTAAACACACATAATTCTGCAAAACAAAACATGATGATGTATATTGTCGGTTGGTGGTGGTTTTTTAGAACAAGAAAACCAAATTAATACCGTTAAAAATAAAATAGTTAACAATTTCAATGAATTCAGAGGTCGTAAATTATCGTCACTGCTTTCTTTAACGTTATTAATCCGCACTATTTTAGTTCCTTCCGTGTAAGTAATTACTCAGCACTTTTTTAGCTATTGTCACTTGTTAAAACTTTAAATCAAGGAAACAAAGGACGGTATGAAAGAAATATTATATTCATGTTCTAACAGTTTAATGAAGAAAGACAACCATTTGTTTGGATTCTTGCACGCAAAACTTGAATTATTATAGTTTCTCCGATGTATCTATTAACGAAACGAACTTTGTATAGCATGAAAAATGTAACAAGCTTACGTAACCCCTCAATTCCAACGTTGTAAAATAAACGCAAATATTCTGATAGACAGATCCTATTTTATTGTCAGAATTCTTCAGATTGTTTTACATGCATTTATAGATAGCAGTTCGACATGTAATTGTTATTTAGCGTGTTAGCGAAATATTCAAAGAAATATTTTTTGCACGTAAACTTCGTGCATGAGTTATTGTTGTATTTTAATATTTATTGACATTATTGTAGAACTAAGTGAAATCATAACATAGTAACGTTAAATACTTTCCTCGTCTGGTATGTTTTAAAAATCTCAAAATTCCGATGATTTGGGAGAGAAAGAAGTACTCATATTTACATGCAATATTTCATGTAAAATGATAAAATCATTAATGTAAAGTCTGACTTGGTAAGTAAATTGTGGTTGATTGTTAGAGATTCTCCACAGGTTGCAGATAAACATATTTTAAACATAAAATGCTAATAAAGAGAGTTAGCTCTTTTCACGTACCTAAGAAACTTACCAATTGTATCAACAGTTAATTTATTCCAAAAACATACAGTGGTTAAATGTAATGTAACTTGGCCAGGGAGTGTATAATCTCAAACATTCGTAGTTTGTTATATTTTGTTATTTTGTAACGTGCACTATCAATGGGTGTCCTATTAGGAAAACAATTACATTTCGTTTTTATTTTTTACGGCTACTGTGAGGTCGAGTTTCTGAACTGACCAACTATATTTTTCTCTGTTTCTTTCACGAGCTTGGTTCAAGAATGATTTCATAAATCGACAATAACGTCGAAGAAGTTTGTACACGGTGTTTTTGAAGCATCCACGGTGATAGACTTTCAAACAACCTGTAGGACGCGTGTGTTTACTGAACACATGTCACACTCACACATTTCATCGCTTACGAGACGTTCTAACAAATGTGACTTTTCACTCTACCACCGCCCATTGAGTCATTTCACGTGTGCGCGTACTACTGAGCTAAAAACCGCCTGAAGGTAAATATCGAACTTCATTACTTTCTTGTAATGGAGGCTTCTCCAAATGAAACTGTAATGTTGCAGTCAAATTAATGCCAGGAAAGAGAGCGTGTAAGTACCAAACGTTAAGGGATTCGGATAACCAGGCTAGCACAAATAGGTGACTATGATATATTCTTTAATCCATATATTCTAGCTGTCAACTGATGTTTACATGTAAGCTAGAAGTTTATTTCATATTCATTCTATTACACATTATTTATGATTTCATATTCATAATTTACGAGCTTCGTTTCTATTTTATCTCATCTCGATTCACCAATATGATACCCAATCCTTGTGTTTAATCTAGCAGGATCGATATTTTCAAAATGGGGGTCATTCAACCTATGCTATTGTTAGCCTGCTGTAACTTTCAGCGTTGTTTTAAGCTATAAAATGAAAATTAGTCGTAAATCAAGAGCGGGAGGTAATGTTACGTGTTCTTATGGTGGAAGTCTAGCTGATCAAGGATTGAACTTTTCTAGGGTGAAAAGTATGATGGAAGACGAGCAGATGTGTGGAGCTGTGGAGTGATACTGTATGCTTTACTTGTGGTGAGTAGTAAATGTTATAAACATGTTTATTAGTTAATCATTTTTTCGCAATCACAAATTTAGTTTTTGTTTTAGAGAGGCAGAATTAAAGCTTTGTTCGGTTCAGTTATTCGGGTATGTTTTTAGATTGCCTTATATATATGTATGTAGTTTTGTTGTACCTGGTGTTTTTCTGACCAGTCACTACGGTTTCTATATACAGTATTAGAAATAACTATGGAAACAGTGAGGTAAAAGGGTGTAAAAGGCAAACAGTACTGGAATCCACCCATTATTGTGTAAGTATAAATTGCACCAGGTAACAGTCTCGTATATATTATTTACATTGTGACTAGTTGTCATCCAACCAATCAGAAAGTATTACACCATTATAAAACCTATAAAATTATAGGCAGTCATACTATGCCTAGCAATAGTAGTGTGAATCCAGTCATGGCTTCCAGGACTGAAATTCCAAATGACAAGCATATAAAAAATCAGTTTTTGGCTGGTCAAGAATACTCCAAATTGCAGAAAGGTTCCATGTATACAAAACTCTGAATACAGTAACTCAGGTGCCAAGTAAATATTGGGCCGAAATGTTTTGGGTCATCGCCCAACTTGGCTAGACGAATATAGCCAACATGATGTCAGCAGTATTCCAACTTTTAATTTTAATTACACAGATAGCAGATGTTGGTTGGTTCAAACTGGACCAACGTCAACATCCACTTTTTTAACTGTTGGACCAACATGTGATCGTTTTTCTTTATTGCGTGGTTTGCTCAACATTTATGGAATGGCGCCTTTTGATAAAATGTAAATAAAATATCACCCACTATTTTGTGTGCGTTGAATTTCGCGCAAAGCTACTCTAGGGCTACTCCTGTTAAATCGAACAGTTGGACTTGATCGTTCCTCTTATAACGCATCCACGGCTTCAGAGTGCGGGGAATATTTTGCAGTTTCTCTCGATTTGAACCCAGCTCGTCACCACTGAAATCTGAGTTCTACCATAGAACCAACCCGCATTCGCCGTGAATATACGATGCCAAGTCGTCATGATTTTAAACTCGTACATAATTTACTACTATAGACGATCTTTGACCGTCAGTCCGTCTGTTAGCTTGGCATAATAAAACCTACACCTAATAACATTCTGGGTAATGTTCTAGAAGTTGGGAGGTTTAAATGAATGACCTTATTTCTTCTTACGGTTCAAACTCCGACAGATATTTTTTAACTTATATTAGTTTTGTTTTAAACTCATATGTCATTGAATAAGATAAAATAATTTTAATAATAATGAGAAGAAAAGTACATTTTTCATAGAACTCTTTACACCCAAAGATTTACACCCTTTTATGTGTAACTGTTTATCTAATATTAATTAATAAGCTGATATTTTAATTAGGTATTATTTACTTTCTTGAACTGAAATTCCCAGAGCACTGGGCCAACAGTTTCAAAAGTGGATGCTTATATGTTGGCCCAACTAAGGGCCGATGAGCACGTTGCCGTTGGGTCAACATTGTTTCCAAATCTTGAGCAATTGTAACTAGCAGCGTTTGGTCAGCAGTGTTCAAAATTGGTCTCTTATCTAGGTTGTAACCTACCAAATAATCATTTACATGATAGTGAGCTGACGTTAGACTACAAAGCTTTACCAGCACCAGTGATAAACTAATAAACCGATCATTAGCCAACGTTGGACTACGAAGCTTTACCAACACCAGTGATAAACTAATGAACCGATCATCAGCCAACGTTAGACTACAAAGCTTTACCAGCACCAGTGATAAACTAATAAACCGATCATTAGCCAACGTTGGACTACGAAACTTTACCAACACCAGTGATAAACTAATGAACCGATCATTAGCCAGCTTTGGACTACGAAGCTTTACCAACACCAGTGATAAACTAATGAACCGATCATCAGCCAACGTTAGACTACGAAGCTTTACCAACACTAGTGATAAACTAATGAACCGATCATT